TATATATATTCATATATGTATGTGTGTGTGTGTGTGTTTGCATGTTTACATTGGATCATAGCAAGGAAATCAATAAATGCAGCAATAAATGAGATTAAGATATCAGGTCAGCTTCCTTTAGAAATACTGAAGCATACTAGACAACCCCCATATTATAGTCTTACAAAGACTTAACTTAGAGCTCTTGAAACACTTTTGTTTGGTAATGTATTTGAGGTAAATTTTCAGTCTGATGTGCAAACTTCAGACTGGAAAAAATACATTCAGTTTGTTTTCTGTGTTCACGGCACCTCATGCCTCATTGTCAGTTGATAATAAGTATAGCCTAAGGTTTAAAAAATCATACACATAATTATTTATAAAAAAATTCTGACTTCAAATTAAATTGGAACTGGTTATATTTTGCTTTAATGATTCATAATCTCAAAGCATTCACATTCACTTTTTTTGCTGCAGGTGTAGGGGAAAGTGAAACTAGTGGTGGAGATGAATGGAGTAGTGGAGATGAGACTGATTCCTCAACCACTGTATCTTCCACTCATCAGGATCCCCACTGCGACTGCTGTTATTGTCACATGCTCCACCATAAGCAGGTACAGAAATTGGATTGATATGGCACTCTCAGTTGATATAAGTAAAATTACAGAAGTGAAGCAAATGAACACTATTCTTTGATAATCATTATATATTTTTTCTCGTAAGGGTGGCGGCCGGCAGAAATATAGTGACAGGAGAGAGAGATTACTCAAAATCTTATCTCGTAAGAAAAATGCTCGCAACAATGCTGTGTGTCCTAACACCTCTTCAGCAAATGCAGTTACAGCTGCCTCTGATAGTACTGAAGTCCCTACAAGCACAGGAGGGACACCACTTGGAGGACAAAATATTGATAAAATTATGGATTATATTGAAGGCAATCAAACCGATGAAGCAAAACGAGCTAAGAAGGCAGCCAAAAAGGCTCGTCAGAGGCAAAAGAAGGTTTGTGTTCAGATGTACAATCTTTTTTGTAATACAGCAATGTATGCTATTTTTTTTCTTTCTTTTTCTTTTTCTTTCTTTTATTTATTTATTTTTTTTTTTTTTACTTCATTGTCACAAGAGACTAACTTGAATTATCAGTACATAGATTATGAATCTGCTAATAATATGTTGTAATGATTTATGCTCTTTGTGTCTTTTTTTTTTTCTTTTTAAGGAACTATTTCTTTTTACCCTATTTCATTGATTGGATTTTATATGGTCTGCTTATAGCTAAACGTTTCCATAATCTATGTGTCTTACAGTTAGCATTAAAAAAGGAGAAGAAAGAAGAGGAAAAAATGAAACTGGAAGATAAAAAAGGGGAATGTGAAGAGGAGGAGGAGGAGGAGGAGGAGGTTGAAGATGGACCTCTGGCCGAGCTAAGAAGACGAGCTCCAGATGTGACCATCACTGTTGTCCGACCAGGCCAGCAGACATCACGCACGGCTTCATCACCCCAAGTATGTTGGGATTAGTATAGTTACATTAAGTACATGGGATTATATAGGTTCATAAGATTAAGGGTACAAATACTCTGAACTTCATTCAGACATAGTACCTCATACTTCTTCCTAAGCCTCCTCAGTAGGCATGTAATTCCATTTATAAGACGATTTATTAAATTACAACTTTATAAATATTGATCATTGCACTGTTTAAAAAAAAAAAAACTCAACATATTTATTGATGTAAAGTTAACCCACTGGCTGCGGATGGCATCATATGATGCACCGTGCAATTAAAAGCTGATCCCCTTCAAGCAGCGGGCGGCCGCGCGGCATGGGAGCTGAGTGGGCCAGGGAATGTCAGCCGCCAAGCCGGCATTCCCCTTGCGGCCTTACAGGGCCCAGGCCCACCACCCCCGGGCCCGCGTGTGCGATGGGCTGTTTACCACCAAATGAGTTGTTCGCCTATTGCGCGTGCTAAAACCACACCTGCCACTCTTTTGAGCGCATTTACATATGTTTGCATGTATTTGCAAGGGTTTTTGCAAATTTTTGCATACATATTTTTTCGCAGATATAAGTAAACAAAATATTTGCGCGAAAGAGGGAAGGCAGCACCACTGCGCGCGCGCGCACTCAAGTGCGGTCCCATACGCCACCCGAGTTGAAAATAATGAAAATTAGGGGATTACGCGCCATATTGCATAATACCGCGACCAATGGGTTAAGAATGCAAAATATCATTAATGTGTTATTAACACAATATTTTACAGATGGCATTTCAGCGACCACGTGATCCATCCCCTCCTGCTATGGAAGTCTATAAACCTCCCCAAGCAAAACTTGTACCTTCACTAGCACAGTCATCTGAAGAACTTTCATCACAGTCTCAATCATCCTCAAGAACTATTCTCCATCCTTCCCGGCATTCTACCCAAGGAAGGCAACCACAGTCTCAGCCTGGCAAGCATTTTGCAGCGTCTGCCCCAAGCTTCAGTAATCGTGAATCTGCTGAGCGTACAATGGCTAGTGGGGGTGAACAAGGAGGCCTTAGCAATATCTTGAAGGCAATGGACACATCTGGAAAAGAAAAGGACAAAGGGTCCCAAATGGTGACCATAAGAAGAGTAATGGACCCTAATAGTGCTGAGCCTACAGTTACCATTACTCTGAAAGGAGAACAACCAGAAAAAGATAAAGTGCTTTTTAAACTTATTAATGGTCAAGGTAAGGTGTCAGACGGTATTTGTATTTTCATTATAAGGTATGACTGCATGTGTGCATTTTCCAATTAATAGGTGGATTATTTCAAATATTTTTTTTACTTTATCCTTCACAAAAGCCAGGTAATATTACTCTCACGTCACAGCCAAAATGGCAGGCAGGTAATATCTAATTGTAGAAATAATTTTTTCTTTATATTTTTTTCTATCTTACTGCAGGATGTTCGTGCCAAGATTTTGTCGCTGAATATATATAT